ATCTTCTTTCCGGTTCCCCACCCACAAGTCTGATTGGGCCATCTTCAATCATATGGCCGATTGGCCCAGGTAGCACTAATCAGCTCATAGCTCGCACCTGATCCATCCATTCTATTCTCTGCACCCAGTAGCACTTCAGTTTGTGCTCACAGGGTGAGCATTGAGCCTGGGCCCTGCTTTCAGTATGAATAATGAACTGCATTTCTAATGTTATTTCTTTAAACTAACTTAACTTTAATTAAGAGTATTATAGGTGCTACCATATTAGAAATGCAGTTCTAGGGTAGTGTTTCTCAAGATTTAACATGCATTGAAATACCTGAAAATCTTGTTAAAACAAACACAGTTTACAATTTAGCAGATCCACTGTAGGGCCCAAGATTTGCATGGCTGACAAGTTCCCAATGATGCTGATGATTAGGCTTCGGATCACATTTTGAGGAGCATAATAAGACTCCCCTTGAGAATACAGAAAGATGCCAAAATAATTTCTGGACCCTACCCTTCATAGATTCTGATTCAGTAGGTATGCTGTAGGGCCCAATAATGTGCATTTACACCACCTCCTGGATGATGCCAGAGCACCAGTCTATAGAATAGGAAGGTGTGTTTGTTGGGGGGGGGGGCAGTGAATTGTTTTAGTCCCTCTCTTATTTTCTTTCCCAAATGCTGCTATTAATAATTAACATTTGTGTCCTAAATGAAGGTAGTTACTTTCCCATTTTATTGATTAGGAAACTGAGGCACAGGGAGGTCAATGAACTAAGATTACACTGCCTATGGTTGCCTAAGGTTACAATGATGGAAAGTGCAGGTTTTTTTGTTGTTTGTTTTTCATTTTTGTTTGTTTTTGCGTAGAAGAACTGGGGTGTAGGCCAGAGATGGGAGGGGTGAGAAGATTCACCAGAGACACAGTGGGGAGCAGAACAGGCAGACTGACTGAAATACACTGCTGAGGGGAGACAGGAGAAGGCTGCTGCACCATATGTGGCAGGGGATACAACTCAGGTGGCAGGGGCCAGGGAGGCCTGTTAAGTACGTTCAGCCATAGCTTTAAACCATTAGGGCTGTCACCATGGATATCTGCCTGTGCCATTGCCTTATGCAGACTCCCTGATTCCTTGAATTTAGGTCAGAAGAATCAAAACTGGTTTTGACTTAGAATTTTCCTGGGTTCACATCTCATTTTACGCCGGAGGAAGTAAAAGTAAAGGACTTGCCAAGGCCACACAGCTAATGGTTTCTCTTGGTGTATTATCTGAACGACCTTCAAGTTACCTTCTATTTCTAAACTTTTTGATGCAACATTTCTACCGTTTGAACATGTTGAACCTTCTAAAACTGAGCACTTGGAGCTAGCTGTTGCTGGTGGAGGCACATCACCCTTCTCGCCACAGGGACATCATCTACCAGAATCCTTTGATCTTCATCCGCAGGCTGAAAGCGGTAGGGTGGAGCCAGTGAGTTTGAAGGTCAATCGATCCGAGAGAGGCTAGGTCTGTGCCTGGGGTCGAGCCGGGTAGTCGGGATTTGTGGTCAAACGGTTAGGCGGAGAATCTCACTCGAGCAAACTGTTCAAAAGAAGCTTGGTTAGCAGCTGCCAGGCCTTTCTTCCTGCCGGCAGGCGCTGTGCGGACAGTAGCAGCAGGGGGCGCTCTCGCGGCCTCGCCGACTGCAGAGGAGGCTTGGAGCGAGCCTGGGCGACAGGGAGGGCCCTGGCTGCAGCTCCTAGACCCTCTGGGGATCCCAGCGTTCCCCTTGGATTTTTTTTTTTTTTTTTGGCTATTTATTTTATTTCAACACAAACTTTAAAACCATTAGGACAAGTTATCACGAGGACACGTTCTAAACAAGTAGAAGGCTATAGAGCAAAGGATAAACCTAATGACTGCACACATAGTGTTGAATCAACCAGCAAAAGCTGTTTTTTTAGAGCTCTCTTAATTGCGCTTCAATTAAAATATTTCAAAAAACGTTTCTGTTTCATGAAAAAAAGAGAACAAGGGAGATGGTAAATGTTTTCTAAAAACTCTAACATGAGATTCTATTGACACTAAAATTTACCTTAAACATCCTGAGTCAGACCCCTCTCTCCGGCTTCTGCTATTTCTCCTAAGCAGAGTTCTCAACTCCAAATTGGTGTTCTTTCATTGTTACGTTGTGATGTTCAATTCAAAATCAAAGCTGATGGAGAAGTTACACTATCTGATTTTCAGACTCCCCCCCCCAAAAAAAAATCAAAGGTGAAGTTCAGACTAGAGACTGAAAATGGATTTGTCCATTTGTGGATACACTTGTGGGTGTCAGTAGACAAAGCTGGGAGAACCATTACCATCCCCCATGATACTACAAAGCTCCAATGGGGGTTGGGAGGTGGTGGAAGAAAAGATGAGTTTGTCAATACCCTTTGTCGTAAGCATGCATGGGCATGACTTTAAAAGGTGTGTTGTTTATTTTGGCTTTTTATGTCACCTTTCTTATGGTGAGAATGTTCTCCAGAATTTCACCATCTTCCAGGGGTCATGCCCCCTTGGATCTTTGGGATCTGAAGTAATGGTGGTGCCGAAGGGGGAGCTCCAAACTCTTTTATGTAAGTAGAGACATCAAGACATTAACCAGACATTAACCTGGAGCTGTGTAAGGCACTGTGGTCCTCCACTTGACCTGCTTAGATAAAATTACCCAAGAGTTGTAAATTCCAAAACTTTTGGGATTGACACTCACACCTATCAAATCAGAACCTCTGGGGTGGGACCCGGGCATCAAAGTTTTCATGTGCAAACAAGATATGTGAGAAAATACTTTGGAAATTGTTTAAGTGGTGGAGTTTTTATTTATTATTTATTAGACCTTGTTTTAGAGCCTCCCCTTATGGTCCAAGGTAGAACATATTTAATACTCTTTTCTATATTTAGTATATTAAATATTTAAGTACACTAAATATGCCTCGATATACTCTAAAGACAAATCACCATTGTCTTTAGAAGTTGGACCTATCAAGAACGGCATCAAATTCAGCTGAATATGAAAAGCTAATTGAGTTATTTGGGGCTAATTTATATAGAAATTCCTACTTAATTATAATCTCTTTCTTTGCCTGCCCTTTTACTTTAAAGAACATTAAAAAAGGAAGAGTTCTTAAAGAGAATGATGGAGGAGACATCTTCTTTCTCCACCTTCCTTATCCACTTCTACTTTCGGATTCCACTCTCATTATTTTTCACACTGTTCTGGCTCCCACTGCAGACCCTAAACAGGCCAACTCTGGTCCTGCCTGAGATTCTGTGTTCGCACCAGTAGAAGAAACTAGATCAGAGAGTTCAGTGATTAAATTAGCCCCAAATCCCACAAGATTAAAACCAGAGAAAGATCTAGTTTTCCATAAACCTAACCTAGATTCCACTGTGAAAACATTCAGTCTTGGCAGCTAATACAAGAAATCATCAAAGCAAAAACATTGGCAGAAATTAAAAGAAACCAGGTAAGAGGAGAAAGGTTGAGAATGAGCTGCCTGATGCAAAATATTCTTCCACAATGAGAGGGAGATGACGCAGAGAGCAAAAAAGTAATAATACCGAAGGCACAGCCACACTGATGCATATCACAAAACCTGAAATTGAAGGGAATTGAAGCCTTTCATTGTGAGACATTTCATCATTTTCTCAGTAATTGCATCAGTTTTACAATTTCTTCCATCACTGACTCCCCAGCAGTCCTGGCAACTCTTCATCTATGATGTGGAGGTGGCGGGTAATGCTGTTTGCCTCCAGGAAATTAAAGACCCCTCTCAATAACTGCATTAGTCATCAACACTTGCTGCTGTGATTGATCTTGTAAACACCATCAGATCTGGGCTCAGAAAGGATATGAAAATTCATAAGCAGGAAAACAACCTTATCTTCCCCCTTATCCAGCTCTCTCTTTACAAGAAATATCTGCAAAGTCTTTTTTGCATTTCTAATTTGCTCATCAAGACACATGTTTTTGACAGGCTGGGGTTATATACACTGGGGACTAGAAACTCTTTGGGACCACAGGAAATTATGAATTCTGCCTAGGTTTTCCAGAGTTGCTCTGTTGAGTTGCCCTTTTCCTAAAAGAGCAAAAATGTTTCAGACTTGTATTTCATCATCTCTGGACACCCAGAAAGCAAGAAGCTATAACAAGAAACCATGAAGAAAAAAAAAAAAATGCCCCTCTTCCTGTCTCTGTGGAAAGCACCAGTACTCTGGTTTGATTGTTGTGTTCTATCTTGGGTACTCCCGGTATCAGGTGTTAGGGGAAGTCCTGGGAAAATATTCCATCAGCACAATGCTTCAAACTGAGCCATTCAACAGGGACTAGCCTCAAGTAAAGGAAAAAAACAAAACCACTTCAAGACAGGAATCACAATGAACAAGCACTTGGGGGGTGGGGATCAGCAGGGGGGAATGCCAACATAGTGGCTCCAAGATCTCTGGAAATTTGCTAAATTGCATCTGTCATCTACTTAATAATATGGTGATCAAATTCTACATGTGTATATATATTCTTTGATATATTCCAGTGCTAGGTATTTGTCCTACAGGCATACTGCAAATAAAGAAATGCTATGAACAAAGCTATTCATTACAGTTCTATTTGTGGTTGCAAAAAAAAAAAAAAAACTGTAAATAACCTTGAAAGGCATCAATAGAGGACAAGTTAAATAAAGTATGGTTCATCCACACAATGGAATGAAAGAGTAGAGTAATACTTACATACTAAAATGGGAAGATCTCCAAGATATATCAACTGAATAAACAGAAGGCATGCAGCAGTGTAGTGTGCTACCACGTATGCAAAGAAGAGAAACATGTATGTGTGTGCAAATGCACAGGTTATCTAAGAAAAGATATGCAATTAATGGTACCTCTGCAATGGAAAATTGGGTGAAAGTGATTTCTTAGATTCAAAAGTTCACGTAATCTAGCCTTTATCTGCATTCCCACCTGTGAGGTAGGCATAATGACAGTCCTGAAGCTCATTTTATTACATACCATATTTTTTGTCTTTATTTTCTATTTTTGAAGTAAAATTTGCAGATAAGGTAACATGCCAAATCACATTTTACTGAAGTGGTAACATATTGTAGAAATAATTCTCTAAATGACTGACCCTGCCTTCTGGATTTGACAAAACATTGAAATCAAATACAATCAAGGGAGGGAACTAGTACAGGGTTTATAGTCATCAAAAAAATTTTTTTTCATCTATGCTATGGGGTGGGTTGGGTTCTCTCAAGATTCATATGTTGAAGTCCCAGCCTCCAATACCTCGGATTGTAATTATAGTTGGAGATAAGATCTTTATTTAAAGAAGTGACTGAGTTAAAAGGAGGTTGTAAGGGTAGGGCTATGACTGATGTCCTTATAAGAGTAGAGACAAAAGGGGTATGTGTGCACAGAGAAAAGTCATGTAAGGACACAGTGAGAAAGTGGCTACTAGTAAGCCAAAGAGTCCTTAGAAGAAACCAAACTTGCACACAACTTGATCTCGGACTTCTGGACTCCAGAACTATGAGAAAGGTTGTTGAAGTCTTTTTTGTTATGACAGCTGTCAAATTAACATGATTTACTATGATACTATTTCCTAAGAGGAATACATTTTAAACCACAAAGGGGGGAAAGACATGATTTATGTATAATTTAGCTTTTAAAAAAAAAACCTATATTTTAATTTTTCTCATTTTGTCATCAACTAAGGAACCGCTTGCTCTCTATAAATTTTTTCTCTTTTTAATTTTTCATCCACTTGTTTTCAAACTAAGAAATAAACTATACTACACATGATCATAAGTAATTTCAAACTAAAAGCAATGTGATCTAATAGGTCCATTTTCATAGTTAGAATGTAATTTGTACTTTTATTACTCATTATATAACAAGAGAAATCTTGTTTAAAAAATTTCCTCAAATAAATTATAAGCTTTTAATTTTATCATTATTAAAATTAAAGTAGAAATGTCTATTCAAATTGTTTTTTAAATCCAGTTGAATTATCAATTCATTACAAATGTTGGAAAATTTATTTACTTTATTCTATGGCGTTCAGACAAGTAATTCCACCTTTTAAGTCCAAAATCAGAAAATATTCCTTATATATCTAGCACTAATAGAGATCATGGTATATCAAGGAAATATTTAAATTCAGACATAGCTTTTTTTAAGTAGATTTCTATAAATAACATTAACAGGAAGCACATATAATACAGTCTATCCTGAATCTGAAAGTTTTAATTTTTTTTCAAATATTGAAACCATCTTGTCTCCTGATTTTCACTTAAGAAACACATTGTGAGAATGGGTTCAAGGATGGTGGAATTAATTGATACTCAGTAATTCACAATCATTACATATAAACATGACATTTTAAACATGACATTTTAAAGACTGGAACAAAGACCACATGTTGGCAGCACAGGGGATATCTTGTTCTCTTTCTTCTGTGGCTCAGAGCCATTTCATATTTCATAGTTTCTGAATTTCCTCAGGAGTTCTGAGGGAGCATCCCCAGACCAGCGGAAACGAAGGTGTCCACAGTTCACATCCGAAAAACCTTTCGAAAAGAAAAGATTTTAAAATCACAGATAGTAAAAGTCAAACTTGTAAAACAGTTTGGTTATAAAACTTCACTGCAAGATGTAAAATGTAAGAATCTTTGGTATAACCTGTTAATATCAAATAGAAATGAATTAAATTAACTTTTGAATTCTTATGAAGTTTATACAGTTTATTTGGATAAAAGAACTTCACAGGCTTAAATGTTTAATAATAAAAAGATTTTATAAATGCACTCAATGGTAGGAATTTTGACAATTCACCTGCAAAGAAATTGAAAACAACTTTCAAACAACTGCCAAATGTAAAAGGTCAATAATAGCAGATCCCTGGAACACCAATAATTTATTCTATAACAGTAAAATATTTTTATTCCAATAAACAACTTTTTTGAAAACAAGAGAAAAGGTCATTTTCCTTCTCTACTAGAGGAAGTATAAATTGGCAAAATCCTCTGGCAGGCAATTTGGCGGTATTTATCAAATTCATTAAAATGTATATACCTTTATCCCAATAATTCTAGTTCTAGAAATTTATTAAGGGAAAAAATCATGAATGTGCTCAAGGGTTTAACTATAAGGATTTTCATCATGACTCCATTTCTCAATTTTTTTAAAAAAATGAAGAAAAAATCTAAATCTTCAGCTGTAGAAAGTTGGTTAAAAGGCTTTGATATAGTCATTAACAATTTTTTAATATTTTGGACATAGAAAAATGCTCATAAGATATTGCTAAGTGACAGGGAGTTAGAAGGCAGTTTAGACAGTAGAAAAAAATATACTAAAATATTAATATTTTTCTAGATGGTAAGATTATAAGTGGAATTTCTTTCTTTTGCTTAACCACATTTTCTCACATTTCTACAGTAAATACATGTTGCTTTTAGTTTTAAAAAGATGTCTTCCAGTTTGAATTTCTCTAGAAATAGATCCCCAAGCAAGAATTTGAATGCACGACCAATCTGGGAAGTGATCCCCAGAGGCCCTCGTAGAGAAGTAGGGGCGAGAACCAAATCTATAAAAGTACATAATCGGACAAGTTGCTGCCCTGGACAATTGGGGTGTGGTCCCCTAGGAACCCTGGGAGACAACATAAAAATACCTCAGCATTATCCCACTTGAGGGGTGAAGGACCTGGGAATTTAGCCACCCACTCCCATTCATTGTTGCCTGATTGCTATACCACCAGGGCATTTGCCCCCTTCCACTGACTGTCTGCTCATTTGCTGCAGGGCAGAGTTTATTGCCAGAGGAAGCCTCTGGCAGAAGCAGGGTTGGCAATGCCTGGGAAGGGACTATCAGCTGCTTCTGCTACATTTGAATTTTTCTTTTTATTATAGAGTGTTACACAAAACTATTTTATCCTAGCATTGTATTTATCAGAAGGCATATTTATTGCATATTTAAATGGAAAGAAAGCGAGTTTGTCTTGCACACCAGTTTCCAGATGTCACACTCCACATCTTACTGGATGTAATGAGAGTCATAAGATGGGGACTGTTTGATGGCTGTTCATCACAGAAGAGGCATCAAAAGGCAAACTCCAAAGTAAATATCAAGCGCTGATTGAGAAAATTAACAAAGATGCTGAAATTTATATGAGAAGCCACTCAGGGTTTGGTAAAGCTGACATGAATAATATCTTGTAAATGCTGGCATTATAAAATTTACACTGCAGTAAAACGAACTATAAATAATCAAGCAAGTGCACTTTGGTATACCAAACTCCAGTTTCACAGCACTACTCAGCACAGCCAATTATCTTTTTAAAAGCATTAAGAAAATACTGGTTAATGTATCTTTGGTAAAATTTCACGTCTTAATCTCCAACAACAGCTCTAAACAACAAAGCTCCCTTCTCTCATCCCTCAACTTCATTTTTCATTCTTCAACCACAGTAAGAGAATACGCTTCATCATGTGAGGACATCAAAACTGGCATCATAGTGCATCCTGAGTAAATTACAATATATCTATACTAGAATAGTTAGCAGCTGTTAAAAAGATTATGTTGTTTCTACATGTATGGAGAAGTCTCACAATAACAAATGCTATACTAAAAAAAGCACTTACAATGTACATACTCTAAATATTTTACATATATTAAGTCACTTACTTCTCAAAAAAAGTTATGAAATAGACACTAGTATTTTTTACCATTAGATTCAAATAAGAAAACTCAAATACAGAGAGGTTAACTCACTCCCCCAAGGTCATATAACTCATCAGTGAAACAGTGAAGATCTGATTCTAGAGTCTGTGCTCTGCACCACTGTGTAACAGGCAGGAAGGTACATGGAATAACATTGTTCTTTATTTGCAAAGTCCTCATCATGAACATATACATCTACATGACTTTATTAGCATAAAGAGTAGTATGGAAGGAGACACACCTGAGCATCATCACTGACGACTCAAGAAGTAGAAACAGAGAAGAATGGGAGGCTGGGGGAGACACTAAGTTATTTTCTTTAATGATTCTTCGAATTTTTGAGTGACAAGCTCATATTACTTTGGGGGTTTTGATATCTAAATTACTTTTTTAAAAGAAAGAACAATTTTTATAGACTCTTGTGAGAGGTATTCAAGTGCAGCTTTAGGATCTTGCCTAAACCTAAGAAGTATCCAACCCCCCCAGTTCTGGTGAACTCAGACTACATTTGAATTGGAAACAAAAAGTCCAGGTTCAGGGAGCACAGATCTGAACATTCCAGAATTGAATGCCTGTGTGTGCCTGTGTGGGTGGGAATTCCTATGTGTTTACTTAAAACACTTGTTTTTTCTGAAATGCAGGCTTCTGCTTTGATCAGTTTGTTATAACCATTTCCAGCTATGAGGCTGATGCAATCAACATACAGATTCTGCAAGAGGGCTGCTTGGGTAACCAGCATAGAAAACTGAATCAAATTCTAAAAACTTTTTCAGAAGGTCTATAATTCACCACAAACTATCTTCTTTTTAAAAGTAAGTATTCAAAGGGGAGGTAGCAAGAGTCTAGGGTGGTGGGCTATGGGTTCTTGGGTGGTGGGTGCACTATGGTGACAACATCTGATAAAGGGGGGATTCCCCCTCTTCAATAATACAAACTCCCATGTAAATCAACATTAATTCAATAAATATTTAAAAAATAAAAATAAGTGTTCAAGGATGTTCAAACTAAATTCTAATGGGAGTCATTAGAATAAGAATTTGAAAGGTAGTTACAGTGTGTGTATAAAACACACCTATACAAAATAAACAGAGACATGACTAGTCAGACAAAGACATGATAGTAACAGCTAACAGTTTTGCAGAGCTTATTATAGTGAAAGACTGTGCTAAGCATTTTGCATGGATCTTCTCATTTAAGCTTCATGACAACTTGATGAGAATGTACCATTATCATTCACAGTTTTCTCATCTGAAAAATGAGAATAATAAACTTGTAGTGAGAATGAAATCAGTTAATATATACAAAATTAGTGTTAAATGAGGTAATTTATATAAAGTTGTATGTGCAAAGAACATTCCTGCACATAGTAAACACCCAATAAATGTTAGCTAGTGTTTTTTCAATCAAGCAGTAGATACTCCCAAAAATATCCCAAAATTTCCCTTGCAAGGAATATATTGAGGAATCTGTCTTCTAGTTTCTTCACCAGTGCTAGGTATCCTTTAAGGTGCTAAACCGATTTGTATATTTGGCATGACTATGTAGTTAGAAAAGGTTGAGAATAAGTACTATTTAAACCAAGCCCTTTAATTTCAGACCTCTGTTCTATAAAACTCACACAACATGACTTACTTGGAGAATCTGAACATTGTGGGAGAAGTGACTTCTCCAGGGATTCAGATTCTTTTTGCTCCCTTTTCTCCATGGTTGAATCCAACTTTTTTGTCTTTATTTCTCTTTGCTCCTTCAATTCCTTATTTTCAGTCTTGTTGGTATGAGTCTGGTCAGATTCTTCCAGCATCAAGTCTTTTTTACTTCTGACAGCCCAGTGCATCGACTACATTATTAAAAGAGACATTCAATATAAAATCACTATTACGGTAGTCTTCTATATTTAAAGTTCAGCATGTAGCAACACCTGAACTATTTGTTATAGTGTTGATTAAAAGAATGTTATGACTATTGGGCCTCCCCTGGTGGCGCAGCGGTTGATCGCTGCACTGCGAAGCTGCCTGCAGCCTCTGCAGCACTGGTTTGATCCCCAGCCACCCAGCGAGGGTCCCACATGGCGCACAGATCTCTCCTGCCCGCCCGCTTCTCCCCTCAGCAGTGTATTTCGTCACTCTGCCTGTTCTGTTCCATGCTCTGGCTCTGGTGAATTCTCTCACCCTCCCACGCTTCTGACAGTACCCAGTGCATGTATGAATAAATAAATCTTTAAAAAAAAATGTCAGGACTATTAAACAAACATTAATCAATTAATCTACATATTAGTTAATCCTCACTGATTTGGAAGACCAATGATATAAGTAGAAATCCATTTCATGGTACAGAGTGAACAGACTAGCATCAGAAAGGTGCAAAGAAATACCTGCTTCCACAGGAAGTTAAATATAAAATATCCATATGATCCACTTCCATTTCTAGATACATACCCACAAGAACAGAAAACAGGTATTCAAAGAAAAACTTCAACATGAATGTCATAGCAGCATTATTCACAAAAGTCAAAAGGCAGAAACAACCTAAACATCCATGAACTCATGACTGGATAAATAAAAAGGTGGTAATATCCAAGAAATGGGTATTATTTGGCCATAAAAAAGTTATGGCATATGTAGGTTAACCTTGGAAACATAATGCAACGTAAAAGAAGCCAATACAACTTATATGATTCCATTAAATATGAAATAGCTAGAATAAACAAATTCAGGAAGATAGCAGATTTGTGGTTACTGGCAACTGGGGGAAAGAGGTATCGCATGCCTCCCCATAACAAATATGAGGTTTCCTTTTGGGGTGATGGGAAAGTTCTAGAATTAGATAATGATGGGTAAACAACATTGTGAATGTACTTAATGCCACTGAATGGTATACTTCAAAATAATTAAAATAATGAGTTGTTATGTATTTTACTATTGATAAACAACAAGGATGTGCCCCTTAAACTGACTACTATTGTATCAATAATTAGGTAAACTACTATTGCCACAACTACTATTGTGGCCTTTCATCCAGTCACAATTAATGCAGAGTTGACAAATACTAGAATTCTGGATTATAAATCTTCTCTTTAAGAAAACTCATACACAAAGCAGGAATCCAACCAATATTTACTGTGAAATTTGTCCTAATTTTAAATGGATTCATTTTATGTCAATTAGTTGTCCTCAAAGAGCAAGAACTTTCTAATTATTTTCCATTTATTTTTTAAGGACAATGTGAATATATATATATATATATATATATATATATATATATATACATTGTATAGATGTTTTCTAAAAGGAAACACAATAATGGCAATGGTGGTATTCTGGGAAGGGAAAGAAAACCAGGGAGGGCTGGAATAAGGATGAACTCACTTTTTGTTACATATCCTATTTTACTATTTTGATTTACTTTAACAAAAGTATGTTGGTTTTGTGACATATTTAATTTACAACTTAAAAAAAAAATCAAGGACCATAAATCAATAGTGTTGGGCATGGGCCATTGATTCCTGGTTTAACCCTTATATTTTTATAATCACAAGGTCCAAAGTCCCTGAAAACTTTTCACAGAAATCCAATATCCTAAAATTGTGTTTTATATACCTGGTGGGGGTCCTTTGCTCAGTGGTTTAACCTTGTAACTCTATCAGTGTAGCTCTGGCTGCTTACCATGAGTCAGGAATAGGGCGGTTTGGGGGGAACCAAAAATGAGTCCAGCAGAGTCCAGAGTGTTCACTATTTTAAACACAACTAATACAAAAAGATTGATGCACTCCTATGCTCATAGCTGCATTATTTCACAACAGCCAAGTCATGGAATCACCCTCAATGCCCACTGATAGATTGGATAAAAGAAATTGTGGGATATATACTCAATGAAACACCTCTCAGCTCTTTATAAAGGTGAAATAGTGCCTTTCAGGAAAATATGAATGAATTTTGATGGTTATGCTAAGTAGATGAAGTCAGAAAATGAAAGATAGTTACCAGATGGTTTCACTTATTTGCAGAATAAAAAATAACCAAAGAAAACAAACTCACAAAACAACAAGAATAAATCTCTATGAAAAATATACTGGTGGTGCAGCAGACCTCTCCTGTCTCACCTGCTACTCCTCTTAATAGTGTATTTCAATAAATCCCCCAGTTCTGTTCTCCACTCTGTCTCTGGTGAATTCTTACACCCCTGGGCCTCTGGCCTATACCTGAGTCTCCCCCACGACAAGTGGCAGACTTGGCAGGAAGGAGACTTTACCTGGGGAAAATCTCCACGAAGGTAAGAACCATGGCTGCTGCATCCTTCTATATGCCTGTCTTGTTGTAAATGCTTAATAGACATTTATAAAAAATAATTACATACACACACACACACACACACACACACACACACAGGGGATGGGGGAGGAGGATATGAGGAGGAAAGGTGACAGGGCTGTGGCAGTGGAGATTTGGTGGAGGGAGAGTATGGCATGTACTCCCCAAATTATATAATTGTGAAGTTGGACTCCCCAAATTATATAATTATGTAAACCACTGTCAAATTAATAAAGCTTAAAAATGGGTCCTGCATATATATATATATATATATATATTCCAATATATATATATATATATATTCCAATTAAAATGCTTAAAATTGGATAGATGAAGTGGATGAATGGAAGGATACATAGATGAGCACAGAGTAAGAAACAGAGATTGAGATTTCTCTGCATCAAAAATAATTGAAGTAGAAAAATTAGCCCTGGAAGGCAACTATAAATCAGAGACATTCTGCAGGGGAGGAGGAGGGTGAAGGCTCAAAACAGGGGCGGGAAGAGCAAAAGGGGCTATGGTATGGGACATGGGTGAATTGGTGGTGGAAATTCCATGGGGACTACACCATAGAGGAGAAAGCACACATTGTACAAGAATGATGGAAAATGCATATAAAAGAAAAAAAAGGAAAGAAAAATTAGCCCTAGATTCAACCAAAACAATGAACATAACCGTTTCTTGAAACTTCATTGTATATCTTGGGACACAATTCCTGAAGTATTACTAAACAGTGACATACTAGCTCTGTTACTCGAAAACCCATAAGCCACCTACTTAGGGAAGTTATAAACAGAATACATCATCTTCCTGATATCTAGGATAGTGTTTCCCATGCTCCAAAAAAATAGAGAAAAAGCAAAGCCAAGAAACTATATTGAATGAAACGCTGATTTTTCTGAATTCCAAAGCTTATTGAATAAGCTCAAAAGTTGTGACATTTAAAAACTGCCACAAAGGGGCTGAGGCCTGTTACACACACACATTCCCCACTTTGCAAGCGTCATCTTGCATTTCAACCTAAGAGCACTTCTTTCCTGGAGAGTCTGAACTATCTTATAGTAATGCTGTTGCCAACTTTTGTCTGAGAGCCCTGCTTTATCTACCAGTTTAACACAAAGCAACACAAGGTGATGGTGGTCAAATATTACATGTGTACATGACCAAGTTCTCCATGTAAAAGGTGTGTGTGTGTGTGTGTGTGTGCGCGCTCATCATGATTTTTAAAGAAAATTGGGAAGAGTTAGCAGCTTGGTGTTAATGAGTAATAAGCAAAAATGGTCATAAATAGTATGATCTCAACTATATTTGAAGGTAGATAGATATAGCCAAATATAGATATATAAATATATGTAAACATAAAATATAGGTGCACAGACAGAGAGGAGGACAATGTGGCCTCATACATACCCTAAAATCATAAGTATATTCAACTCCTCTGCTCTAATCCAATAGAGAATTCACTTCTCCCCATCTTCAACCTATCTCTCAACAACTGTAAAATGGGATTATCCTGAATCTTCTTCCCCAAAAATAACCCACACACCCCAAGATCCACAGATCACCCTAATAAAGCTGTTACTGCCACCATTCAATGTGGTTCTCACACTAACAAATGAAGGGAGGAAAACACTGGAAGAAAATGCACCAAAATGTTGATATGGCTGTTTTTACATGGCAGGATAATAAAGTTTTTTTCTTTTCTTTGTGTTGTTTTCTAAGTATTTAGTATAAGTATTTCTCAGTATTTCACTCTTGAAATAAAAGTGCCTATAGTCTGCCTTACAGAGGTGTTAATGATTAATGACTGACCTACAGTAAATGCTTTGAAGCCCCTTACTCATCAATTCCTTTATGAATAAATCAGAATAAAGTATTTTATTCAATATGTAGTATCTGTTGTTCCTAGTTAAAGAAACTTGCAGGGGGGAAATACAAACTATCTAACTTTATATACAGGCACCTCTCATACTTTGTAGTTCAATCACAGAACTAATGTAAGCAATACTGAGCAGCCAGTTTGCTGAGACACAATTAGACTACTCATTTCTGTGTTCACAGGTGAATTTCTTAGCTCCTCCAGGTATTAGGTGGGCAGGGCATTGGATCTCAAGTAAACTATTGTGCAGTGATTCCAGTGATTCACTGGAACAGAACAAGCATCAACAAAAATATCAAATGAGAGAAGTTGATCCACACTAAGAGGGAGATTAGAAAGGGGAGCATCTATATATAATAAAAAAAAATTAACTGCACCAGACAGAAAATCACTATATGCATGGAGTGAGTTAACACTAAACAGACATGAAGCCTAGGTGCAAAAACCACTGTCCTACAGTCTATGAAATTGGATGTAGTTGTTCTACCTCCTCAATTAACTTGTTTACTAGCTTTCCTTAATGGGTTGTTGCTTTTTTCTTCTCTAGAAGTCTTTTTTTTTTTAATTCTTGAATTTGATCATCACTTCATATAAAAAATTGTGTCTATGTGCCAGTAAACATAGTGATAAATAGAAGAAAAAAATCAGTTGACTCACATGAGCCATGAATATGGCTGAATAAATTATACAAAATTGACTGGTAATTTGTTTTTTTAGTTTTTGGGTTTTTTTAGTTATTATTTTTTTAATTTTATATATTTTTACATCATTTTTCATTTTTTGCACAATGTATGCATTTTCATCTTGGTTATAGTCCCCATTTCCCATGAGTGAATTTTTTACTTGCCTGGGTGATATCTGCCTTGCTTTTGGATAACATCCAATTAGGACAGACGGCCTCGAACAGGCCCAGAAGGTACTGAATTACACACTGTTTCCCATCTGGCTGGGGAAGCTGGGGCTATACAGGCATAGAGGGAAGCTTCCCTTACAGTCTATGGCCAAATGGACTCAACCTCAAAACACCTCTCCAAGCCTGGAAATATAACAATGATCCAAAAACACATAAGGATGACTGGCAGCCCCAATAAGTCCTTCCAGAAGCAATCAGTTTGTCAAACAATCAATCAGTTCACCAAAAATGTGTTTCTATTAACTCTTTATAAAATTTATAGCAATTGGGGGGCCTCTCTGGTGGCACAAGGGTTAAGATGCAACCTATGAAGCTATCCGCAGCCACTGCAGCATGAATTCAATTCCCGGTCAGCCAGGGAGCCACCCACATGGCGCAGCAGACCTCTCCCGACTCGCCCACTGCTCCCCTCAGCAGTGTACTTTGGTCACTCTGCCTGTTCTGTTCCCCACTCTGTCTCTGCTGAGTCCTCTCATCCCCCCCTCCCCGTGCCTCTGGCCTATACCCCAGCTCTTGCATGCATAAATAAATAAATCTTTTAAAAAATTTATAGCAATTGATGTGATATGACAGTTTAAACAGCTTGTGAGTTTTCCTGTGTTTTATTTTGACTATCACTTTCCCACAGTGATCCTAAAATCATTCTGCCATGTATTTTTGGAACTAGAGGGAAAGACATACATACCCTGGTTCCCTTGGGATAAAACCACTTAGCATGACAATGATGAATATCTCTAAAATTCTTAGGGCTAAAAAGGTCTCTTTTGTCAAGTTACCCAAGGTCCCAAATGCCATAGTTCCTAAAGACTTCATCCCCTATGTTTTTTTTTAAAAATCAGCACCACATATCTCAACTTGAATTTCCACCATATTCATGGACCTGAATGAAGTCTTACAATATTTTTACGAACTAAATTATCAGAAAGAACTTCTAAAAAGGAAAAGAAAAATAGTGAAAACACAAGCATTAGTGTGGGAAAAAATTATGTTACAGTTTCATCACCCAAAAGAGATTTCTGCAATATGATTTTGTGTGTGATGGTGCAAAAGTGCACTGTGATTTGTCCTGCCTTCAAGGTTTTGAGACTAATAGTGCTCTCAACCAGTGCTTTTTCTTTCATTGAGTTTATTTTGCCTAAATAAAAAGCAGAAACATGGGGTTAGTGATTTGAAGGATAAGAATTTTATAGTATCTAACAATCCAAAAATGTATAGGGCAAGCAAATATTCAGGCATGTTTTAGATAAATGTCACTTAAAATTAAAATCTTAAGTCACAACCATTTTATTGTCAGAATGGCTTATGTAATATACTCAAACCAAGCACCCTAATGGAGATGATTATCTTCAAAAGGATAAACAATGATCTATGAGATGATGAATAATATTAGTATGAGAACAGTTATTTATTTATCTAGGGTAGTGAATGTGAAAGGGGGAGGAAATGAAACCGCACACACACAGAAGCAACAACTAAATGTTAGAGACAAGAGAGACTTTCCCATGCAGACGTCACTACGGGGATTAGAACAGAAAGGAATGAGAGGAAATTAACAGAAAGCCTATCAAATGAGATACAAGACAGGTGAAATTTGGAAAGGGGATTCAAAGTCCACTGAAGAAGAGGAAAAAAACAAATCAGAAAGAAGTTTTAGCCCAGAGAAGATTGTATGACCAAAAAAAAAATCATTGCTGATTTAAAGCAGAGAGATACACATCTCATCATTTTTGTACCACTAATAAAAATAAATCTGAAACCAAATGCTAGCCCAGCACACTATTTCAATTTTGTTGACAAGACAAATGATGCAGCCAGTAAGGAAATACCAATGTAATCATTGTAAGACCTCAAACAGTTCATAGTGAAACTAAATTCAAAGCAGAAATGATGTGTTTGGAGGCAGGAAATTAATATTTAATGGAAAGACTTTGGCAATATAAATTAGAGCTGGGATTTGGAGAAGAGTTTTTTAAAGATCCCTAGCTAACTTGATATTAGCAGGTAAAATTAAGTAACAGAGTTCAGTGGTTCATAAAGAAAAATGAACTATTAATCAAAATGCATTAGAATAGCAAAGGTCATTAATTCAGCTGCAGTTAACAGTAAGTCACACTCTGTAGAGAGGAAACATGGTTGTGCAGAGGTGGCAGAACACTATTTAGCCATGTCAACAAGGAATTTTGGATATACGCAATGTAAAAGAGTATGTGAAGTTAAGTTTTATAGTTTTTAAAAGATTGTCTTTATTGTACATATATGGTTAGTCCTTCATAAATAATTAGTCCACCTAAATAAATCTTACAAAAATGTGCTTCATTCCAAAATGAAGATGAATAAAACAGTCTTTATATTATGTACAGTGACTTTAAGAGGTTTACTTTGTACTTCCCTATTATTTCGAAGACCTTCCCTCACCATTACAGTTCTTTTTATGTGAAAAAGACAATTTGTTCATTCTTCTTAAAATAAAAACTAATAAGTAGTAAATGTAAATCTAACCCTAAAGAACTGTAACTTAAGAGATGTGATTCACACTATAGACTAATTCTAACAAGTGTCCTCAAAAACTTGCCTATAAGGTTTCTTCTATGTCTTATGCCATAGAAAATTGTCCCTATGAGGAAAAAAAAGCTAGATAGTAAATCATATCAAAAAATGTAAAAACCTTTAAAATTCCATTTTCTCTATAGTATTTAAAGGTCAGTATAAGAAAAAAATTAATGTATAACCATAATTAAGTAATTACTTTGATACTTAGGTTTTTAAACAGAATGAAGAAAGAGAGCACAATTTAGTTTTCTTTCTTCAAATTATGAAATTTATGACTTGAGAAGAGAAGAGGTTAATGCCAGTATGAATTTAAAAGAATGCAGATGAATTTGCAATGATTCAATAGACAGCAGTATATGAGCAACTTGAGAAGCAGTGTTATCAGAATGTATAAAACAGTAAATGACAATGTGAAGTGTATATACTAAAGAGTCAAAGAAACTTTCTGGCACTGACCTACTGCCTCTGTGGTGAATTTGTCTTCAAAGAATTTTGTGGACCTTGATTTATACCCAGACTCTGTCAGCTGCTTGGTGTTCTTCCTCATATTGATTATCGACCCTTGAAGCTAATACATGAGTCTAATCCAGACTCATCCTATATCGCTTGCTTCATAAATTCACATCACCCCAGAAAGAAACCTACCGTTTTCACAGAGTCACTCAAAGCTTCCCACTGCTGGAATGGCATCGAGATCTGGCTCCTTCGCCAGTGGTCATAGCGAGCTCGACTCTCTTCATTAGTGAGAATTTCCTTTGCCTTCTGCAATTTCTGAAAAGTCTCCACTGGAAAACAAATCAAGAAATAAGCACTTCTCTCTTAGAGAAATTATGTTAAACTCCCAAACATTCAAACTGATCTCACTGAGATATGCTATTTATAATTATGTGACTGAGGACTAGCTCCCTTTGGCAAGCTTTAGGTACCTCACTTGTAAAAAATAATAATACTAATAATAACATGGTAGGTAGTTGATAAATGGTAATTTTTGTCACTAATCTATTTGACCAGATGGCATACAATAAATTTTCATGGCTCTATTGGAAAAACATCTTGGAGACACGTCTAATGTTTTTTCTGTTCCTGGGTGAAGTTAGATCAATATCACAAAGCAATGGTGTTTATGTATACCAGCAAAGAACAATCTGAAAATAAAATTAAGAAATTAATTTCATTTACTCTAGCATTAAAAATACTTAAGAAAAATGTTAGCAAAATAAATGCAATATACTGAAAACTTATAAAACATTCCTGAAAGAAGTTAAGTATTTAAATAAATGGAAAGCAATCCACACTCATGGGTTAGAGGACAACTGTGACATGTGGATATCCACATATAAAAGAATGGAGTTGGATCCCTCCCTCACACCATATACAAATGTTAACATATACAAATAATGTGATCAACATGAATCGTAAATCTAAATGTAAGAGCTAAAATGATAAACTCTGAAAAGACAACATATGAGTAAATCTTTGTGACCTTATTAAGCAATGGCTCCTTCGATATGTCATCAAAAACACCAGCACAAGCAACAAAAGAAAAAAATTATACTTCGGGCCTCCCTGGCGCAGAGGCTGAGCGCTAGGTTGCGAAGCTGCCCGCAGCCTCTGCAGTGCCGGTTCAATCCCCGGCTGCTCCCGGCCACCGGAGGAGGGTCCACATGGTGCACAGACCTCTCCTGCTGCCCGCTGCTCCCCTCAACAGTGTACTTCGGTCCTTCTGCCTGCTCTGCTCCCCGCTCTGGCTCTGGTGAATTCTCTCACCCTCCCGTGCTTCTGACTGTACCCAGTGCTTGTATAAATAAATAAATAAATAAATAAAGGTTTAAAAAAAAATTATACTTCATCAAAATGGAAACCTCTGCACTTGGAAGAACACCATCAAGAAAGTGAACAGACAAGCTGTGGAATAGGTGAAAATATTTATAAATCAGAGATCTAATGCAGGATTTATAGCTCAAATTTATAAAGAACTTTTGCAACTCAATAAAATCAATAATCTAGTTTTAAAACGGGCAAAGTATTTGCACAGACATTTCTCCCAAGAAGATATACAAATGGCCAATAAGCACATGCGAAGATGCTTGACATCATTATTCATTTAGGAAATACAAATCAAAATCACAATAAGATATCACTGCATGGCCACTAAGATGGCTAAAATAAAAAAGATAATAACAAGGGTTGGAGAGGATGTGGAAAAATTGAAAGCTTCATATATTGCAAGTGGGATTGCCCAAAAGAGTGTAGCAACTTTGAAAAAGTTTGACAGTTCCTCAAAATGTTAAACAGAGTTATTATATAACCTAATAATTTCAACCCTAAATATATACACAAGAGAACTGAAAACATTCTTATAAAAAAATGCTTGCATACAAATGTTCACAGAAGCATTATATTCATATTAGCCAAAAAGTGAATACAATTCAAATATCTATCAACTGATACACAAATAAGCAAAATGTGGTATATCCATGCAATGGATATTACATACTGATAGATGCTATGACATGGAAAAGCCTTGAAAACATAGTGCTAAATGAAAGAAGCCTGTCACAAAAGGTCACATATTGTACGATTCCATTTATATTAACTGTCCAGAAGAGACAAATCTACAGAGTCAGTAAGTAGATAAGTGGTTGCCAAGATCTGGGCACAGGGAAATGGGAAGGTAATGAGTTTCTTTCCTTTCCACAACCTGATAAGATAGATGCTGTAGTTGTTGATCCTTTTTTACGAACCTAATACAGAAAGACATTACTGTATCTTTGCCTAAAACTTCAAGTGATAGAGTCAGAATTCATATGCAAGTCAGACAGGCTCCCCAGCTATGCTCTCTAGGCAACACTTGACCGACTGCCTTCCTGCTCCTTCCATTTCCCTGCAGTGCATGTTACACTCTAATCTCCACTTTCTCCTCCACCTCTAGGGATAATAAAAATGTTATCATCCATCAGTAAGATTCAGGTCATGCCCTTGAAGAGTTCAGAGTCCAGTAAGGAAGCGGACAAATACACAAATCATTTCAATACAATGTGATAAACAGAAATACTGGTTCTACTTGGGGAGTCAGGAAATACTTCATTGGTTTTCTACATATTTGAATACATCTTTGACATTGTTTTTCTCACCTATCTCATCTCTAATACATTAGCAAACCCTTCTGGCTCTATTTTAAAATAAACCCAAGAGCTGACCTCTTATCACCACCTACACTGCCACAGCCCTGCTTTCAGTCATCTCTGCTTAACTGATCTCTCTGCCTTTGCCTTGATCTTGTTTCTACACAGCAGTTAGAGTAATATTTTTAAAATAAGTCACACAAGATCACGCCAATGACTTATCATTTCCCACATAATAAAATTGAAAATTCTTTCCTCGGCTGGTAGGCCTGACATGCTCTGCCTGCCTTATAGTCCTTTCTTCCTACTCTGACCTCACTTTCTTCTGCTTTCCCCCACATCCCCTTCAACAGCCATATTTGCTTTCTTGATGTTCCTCGAGTACATTAAGCACATTCCAGCCCCAAGACTTTAGCACTTGCTGTCCTTTCTGCCAGGAACTCTTCTACCCCTGGCACTCACAAGATTTATTTCTCCCAGGTGTCAGCTCAGCACTTGTTGAGGTCTGTCTCCTCTTCCAGAATAAAAACTCCACAAGGACAAAGACTGTATCTGTTTTATCCTCTGCTGCACCCCTTCCACTGAAGCAGGACAGTAGGAGTCAGAAAGTATTTGCTCACTGAATGAATAAATGAATGCTTCCATTTTTTTTTTACAGGTGCCTAATCCTCTTAATTTTTTTAATATTTATTTTTTACATCATTGTTCATTTTTAAACAATATTTGCTTTTCCCCCCCCAGGTGTAGTCCCCATAGAATTTCCTTCCCCAATGCACCCATGCACCATCACCACAGTCCCCTGTGCTCCTCCCTCCCTCCCTCTGATCCCTCTCCCTCCTCCTCCCCTGCAGGATGTCTCTGGTTTATAATTGTCTGTTTTTGTTTTGTTGTGTTTTGTATTCGAATGCTTCCATTTTGGTGTGAATATAAAAATATCCATCCAGTGCTATTCCCTGAGCTCCAAGTACCAAAACTGATAACATATCCTCAAAACAGTTTGTAAATTTGGGACATTTTAACAGTATCATTGACAAAAACAAAACTACCTTGATAATGCTAAAAATACCTCATGAAAAGTAGTCAAGATCCTCTGGAACAGAAGGTATTAGGGCAAATGTGCAGTCAATACTGATGATATACCAACTGCAAAAATCCTGCAATGTTTCTATAGTTGGGAAAGAGCTACTGATCCCAAGCCCCTCGTGGCCTAAACATCATCACTTCCAGCACTCCCCCCAGCAGCCAGAGATACTGCTCACCATAGCAGGGCAATTCTAGAACCTGCTCCACAGCTGGACAGCATTGACACCTTACAAGCCATTAGCTATTTAATACGACCTCTCCAGGTAATGATAATAGTGAGTGTTAAAGGGAAGACCCTAAAGTTGGACCTATTGAAAGCTATAGGAAAACAAACAAATTAATAGCATCTCACCATATCAGCTCACCCTGGTGAGCAATTCCTTCTGTTACTGAAGACCACGTAAATGCCCCACTGTATAAACGAGCTGTCACTTTTCCCAACAGCAATAAAAGGTTCATGAAATTATCACTATGGATGCACATGCCAGTTACTACTAGAGCAGTGGCTGTAGAGATTTACATATTTATCTATGAGTCACCTTCTCTTTGTATATTACTGTTGGCCTCATTTCACAGTTTCCTGAACAAAAGAAGTCCATTTGGAATTGTTCTAATGTCAATCACTCAATAATTGATATAAGCAGAAAGCAAATGAGACTTTATCTTTCCCATTAAGTGACCTTTCCCTTGCTCCATCCTAGTCACCACATTTAATAAAATTGGGCTCTGGTTTATATTTGTCCTTTAATATACTGGCTAATCAAGTGAATCACACAAGATAAACATTTGCCAATTCTGAGAAGAGAAATCTCATTTTATAATCTTATATGAGCTAATGACACTGGAACGTTTGAGAGGCATTCTGACTTAATCCATAAGTGTACTTTGAAAACACACGGGTCTTTTTAAATTCATATCTTGCAACAAAACTTGTATTACTCTACCCACATTTTACATGTAGATCACTTATTGCTACTTGAGAAATAATAAAAATGTAATGTCAGAACATGCTTTGAAAAAAACCTGGGGGAAAATATACCAACTGTTAAGAGGGGTTTTCTGGCAGAAGAGATAATAGCAGACTTTCACTTTCAATATCATTTATTACCATATGTTATTTTTATTCTAAAGGGGGAAAGCAATAAAGAGTTTTTTAAGTAGATAAACAATGAGACATTGAAATACATCAGTTAGCAAGGGACATAGAGCTCCCTTTCTTCAAAAATCCAAAGGCTTTTGAATCCTGTAAATCAATAATAAAAATACCATTTCACAGGTCCTACAGTAAGTCTGAAAGAAAAGTTAATAAAGCACTGTCCCAAAGCAGTTACTGTCATGAGACTGGCATAAGCAATAATCAGGAACTTCTGAACTTCATGACACAATTTCTATAACACAACCAGTCCTATCTACATGAACACAATTGAAGAAGAGAAGACATTTCTAAAGCCTTAGATTTTTATTTATGAAAGTAAGAATATTCTTTTTTTTTTAATAGAGGCATGTTTTATTTATTTATTTATTTGTTTTGTTTGTTTGTTTGTTTTGTTTATACATGCACTGGGTACAGTCAGAAG